TCCAAGAACTGATTTGACTTCAACCACTAGAAAACTTTTTTAAAAAATTATTATTATTATTATTATTATTATTATTATTATTATTATTATTATATTTCCTAGATCAACAGGACATTTGAAAGGTGTCAGTGGATTTACAGGGTGAGAAGCTGAAAGGACTTGGGCAGGGATTCGGCTTTAGTTTTAGTTTTCTTCTTCCTGTGTTCAACCAGCCCACGCTTTCAGACAGAAGAAAATTGAAGCTAATGGAGATATCAAACAGAGCCACAATTCTGAAGGCTCCCTCTTTGCCACAAACACCCACCGTGCATCTGCACGTGCAATCACAGAGACTTGCCGGGTCTTCATTACTCCAGACTCTGAGAAAAGGGAAGAAAATTCTCCAGCATTAAAAGGAAGCCTCTATTATCACTATTATTACTTGTGTACAGCAACATAAGAATTTCTTTCTCTTCTTGAAATTCCCCCACAATATTAAAACGCCATTTGTTGTCCGATTCATATAAACGCTTGAGGCCTTACTGGAAAACCATTACCATTCAATGGCTGGAAAATTGCTCTCCTTCCTTTAAGAAAAAAAAATGAAAGACAGAAAGAAAAAAGAAGAAAAAGGCTGTCACAGCAGCAGCAGCTACACACAGACAACAAAAACTTTCTCCTGCATAATCCTCCTCGCACAATGACAAAGAAATGATATTGACTTACCCAGAAATGGATGATGTGTTTGATAAGGGGGGGGGGGCTTTTTGTGTGTGAAGATTTCTGTCCCGGAGCTACACAGACAGCTGCAATTCATGGGCGATGCTGATTGCTAGAAACGCTATGGATTGGCATGGGGTCTGCAGCTCACACACCCTGATCAATACCCCTACACTCACACGCCAGATGGTTTGGGGAAGGGCAAAAATAAAATAGTCCAAAACAGCCCACCATTATCTCTCCCCGCTTTGGTACTGCTCTGATCAACCTAGCTGTAGCACAAATGTGTTGGAACCAACAGAAAACCTGGGTATATACTGAGCGTGTGAGTGTTTTTCTAGACCAGGCTTTGGCTGCTGTTGGTTTCTGTCTGTTTGTTTTGTTTTAAGTTAAAACAAAGCTGTTTGTATCTTATCCAGATTGTATTGATTTAGGGTCTGTTTGTATTTTTGTGAATAATTTATGGAGTTCCTGTTTTAATTGAGTCTCCCCAGTTTTAATATAAAAAGTACAAATGGAAAACTGATAGTGAATATTTTCAGTGTTCTCATGCCATTTCTAACTGAAGGTTTGAATCTTTTCTCCTCCAGTGTGCAAAGATCTAGTTGTCGAACATTTTATCTATTCTCATTTACATTTTGGACTGTGAAGGATATGTGACCTGCAGATGTGAAACACCGAGAAGTGGATCTCCGAGTCCTGACACAAAGCCTGACACAGGTCCCCAGATTCTAACAGAAATGGCTGCTGGGCATTACAGTTCCATAGACTATTTGTGAATCAAATGCTGGAGAGGGAGGGAGAGCAGAGTACAAACCCCTGACCTAAAGAACTTGTTAAGCTTTGACCAGAGCATGGGGCTAAACAAGGGATGATTAAAAAGTAGCTCTTCCCTTTTGTTTTATTAAAGACATAATGAGAAACATCACAGTGTTTCAAAACATATTTCAAAATCTCATTAGTATTGTTACTGTTCAAATTATCTTGATGTGGAAAATAAATAGTTTTTCCTTTTTAGAAAGGATGGGAAAGGGGCATCTAAAAACCCAAATCAGTAATAAAAAAAAATTAGGATGTTGACTAAGCAAGCATTTTCATTATCCCTTTAATTGGGTCTGAGTTGGAATATAAAACGTCAAAGCTATTAGAAAAACATCGTGGAAAAAATCTGCTTTAATTTAACCCAATGAAATTATATACAAAGAAGCCCAATGTGATTTCATCATTTTCCTGAGATCGTCAATATTGATTGAGAGGAGGTGGAGGGGGGGGGGAAGAGGAGTGGAGGGAGAAAGGGAGGAGGGAGGAAGCCAGGCAGTGAGTGGGGGAAAAAATGCAGCTCACCTTCCCGTTCTCAGCACAGAAACGCAATTCCCAGGAGCGGAGATACCTCGGTGGTCTGGCAAATGAGTTTATCATTTTGAAAAATATTTAAGTGGAAATGTATATGCTTAGGGTTCTGCGTGTATGCTGCATCAGCCTAGGGAGTCACTGGTTACCACTTGAGCCTGAAGCCAGGGCAACAGCAACTTGAGCATTGGAGTCCATTAAAGAGATCTTTTTCCAGCCCTGCCCTTCCCTGTTGTTTGGGGTCCTATCACTGAGCACTAGTGAACCAAAGCAGGTTGCTGTCCGGGGGAACTTTTTTTTTTTTTTTTTAACTCGGTGTGTGTTTCAAACAGTAGCTGGTTCAAATTCTCCTGTGCCCAACCACCATAGATAGTGAAGGAGGCAACATAGGAAGAAACCAGAGCAACAGAAAGCTGCATTATTTTATTGTCTCTTCTGTGACATTAAAGATGTGAGAACTGGGGTGTGCTGCTTTCTTCCCGAAGCTTTGATGTCACAGAGGATGCTATTTGAAAGAAAAATTGGCAACATATTGACCAGAGCTCAATACAGTTGATCTATGAATAACATCGCTGTACATTCATAGGTGGTGGTGGGGTGTGTCTGTAGCTGGGAAAAAGAGAGGAGACCCACAGAAAAGGTCACTTCGAGAACTGTTTTCTAAGTGAATTAAACCATTCCCTAGTCCCAAGAAGGCACATACAGTATTCTGGGCTGTTCTTGTTTTCTTATCAAGTTTTCCCTAACAGCTGGAAATGGTCGGAGGGGGCTGTCTTAAGAAGACCCCCTGCTCTTCTTTTGACAGCTGATCAAAAGAAAATAGGTCACGCTTCTCAAACTTATGTCCACCCTGTCCTTAATTACTGTCTCTTTAAACAAAGGCAACATCTGCGCAACCTCGAGAGCTAGCTTGAATCTTCGGAGGCAAACGGAGCGCAACCTGCTTTGGAAGAATCTGTTACTTTTAAGGCTTTCAATGCGGGGTGTTGGCCTCTCTGGCTGTCTTCTACCACCCCTCAACCCCCCACACAGTTCGCGGAAATGACTACCTCCTCCTCTCTGACCTCCCGACCTAGGTTTGCCAAACAACGGGAATTCTAGAAAGACAAAAGTGTACTTTTTAAAGCTACAGCTTTCGAGAGCGTTTTCCCTCATATTCAACGCCCAAGGCTCAAATCTTTTTAGAGACCAGGATGTAAAATGCAAATACAAGCGGAGTCTTACCGTTACCTACCCACAGCAGTAACCTAGGGTGGACGGTCCTCTCTAGAATTTGAGATGAGTGGTGTGTGTGTGTGTGTGTGTGTGTGTGTGTGTGTGTGTGTGTGTGTG